GTCATCATAATGTAATTCTCTTTATTAAAAAATCTTTCAAAAATAAAATATAGTTTTTTGAAATCTTATTTGGGGAATATTAGCTGATTTAAAGTTTAATTAATCTGATTTAAACAAATATTACTTATTTAAAGTTTAAAAAACGACAGAAATGCATTTTTAACACGACGTTAGATGTGACAGGTTGGCTGACAGTCCGATGTCAATCTACTTTTGTTCTACGGTGGAGGTAGCTGCAAAAATTAGTTGAGGAATATAACGTGCGCGCCTTCTGTATATAATTTTTAGCTACCCAATAACCTTAAAATTTTAGGAAAATATTCTCCGTAATTCACTGTTTCATTGAAATTTAGATACTTCGGCTTTAAATTTTCAATAGTTTTCGCTTTTATTTTTTGCTATTGCCATGTGTCCAATATTTAGATAAATTTGCACGTTTATGCACATATAAAAATTCTTTTTAAAATATTGGTCATCGCTAAATGGTAATATGCTTTTCCATTTATGATTAGTAAATATAACTTTTACTGAATAACAATACCACCTAACCTCTGCAAATTAAGATGAAATTTTAAAAGATTTAAAACTTTATAAATTGTTATAATTTAATTTTTTATAAATGAAATCAATTCTTTTAAAAATTCATTATTCATCGAATTTGTTTTTCCTATGTCAATGGTGTCCATCATTTATCTTATTCATAAAAGCAATTAAAAGGTTTTCAAATTAAATAGTTTTATTGCATTGTTTTATTTTTATTCATAGCAGATTTTCGGTAACTGGGGTCCCCTTTTTTATTAAAAGAATTTGATGATTTAAATTCTCCAAGGAATTCTGCTTTTAACTAATATAAACATTGAGCGGGTCAAAATTTAATTTCTCGAAATTTCATAAAATTTAGTATGCGTGGTAACAGATGTAAAAAAACATTTTTACAAGATTTTCTGAATTAAAAACATCATAATTTCGTTCATTTGTAAATAAGTCCTGAAAGTTTCATTAAAATCCAATAATTATTTGATTTTTCTAAATTAATGTATTTTTCACTGAAAAAAAAAAATGCTAAAATTTCCTATACTAACCAACATCCCCTATACACACACGCCCAGCCGGTTGACGCAAAAAAAAAAAAAATCAAAATTTCGAACTTTCTAAAAAGGATTAAAAAATATAATAATAATCAAAAATCCTCTGGTCTTTTCTTTTAATAATAACATCAACATTTTCACGATAAAACTTTGGGGCATAAAATTTTAGGACATGTTTTCATGGGATGCTAATTTTTTAACGAATCAGTGGCAGTACTTACTAAATGTTTGCCGCTAATTCGCCTGCAGAGTTAAATCGCCGACAGGCTTGTTATCACTGCTGGCATATAGATTACCTTATGTAATGAAATCTAGACGTTGTTTGCTGATATAAATATCTACGGTTGTTTATTCATTTCTGGCCGAGTAATCTGGCGTCGAATAATACAATTTTTTTTTCATTAACGTTCTTCTAAGAAAAAAATCACATGCACACACCAACCAACCTCACCGAGGGGTCGCGGAGAAAAAAATGCCAGGATGAAAAATCCGTAAATTCACAATTTAAAAAAAAAGGCCAGAAATGGTTCACTGGTGTTTCAAAAGAGAGGTCCCTACCATGGGGAACAATGGGACCGCGACAAAGGTGCCTACTGCTTTTAAGCAAAAAAAAAAACAAAAACGTACACGTACCCTGTGACAGAGCATTCTATATTATTAAGAATAAAATAAGCAGATCCTAAAATAGTCTGCTATGAATGCACACAGGGGTGCTCGATGCCGTGTTTAAAGGCAGAGGCTCAATCAATTTTTTTAATTAAATTTTCAGTGAGCAGTGAACAGTGACCGACAACTGAACCATTTCTGGCGGGTTTTTTTCCCGTAATAATGGCTAATTTACGACTTTTTTCATCCTGCCCATGTAGGCGTTTTCCTTCCCCACACGATAAGGTTAATTAGTGTAATATGAGCACATCGGCTACACTTTTACCATCTTAGATTTGCTTAGGGGTATAAAGTTACGGTTTTCAGTCGCAACAGTTACCCACCGCCTGATGATTGCGTGAAAACATATGAAACTGGTATTTCTGGTCGCTCACTGGAAATTTAATTTAAAAAATATATTAAGCTTCTCTGATCGTAGGACGCCCCCATGGCTTTTCGACGCATGAGAGTCTAGCAGCTCAATTCGAAGAACCGAGGGTCCAGCAGCTCAGTTCTTAGAACCAAACAGCCTGACCTGCCCACATATGATTTGATTACAGTGGTGAAGGCTTGTGCAAAGTCAACAACACATTTTGGGAAAGCCGAATACAGAGAACCGGTTCACAGCGTGACACAAACGACACTCCTCAGGTTATGAATTCAGAATAGTCCTCTAAGCTATAGAACCCAGTCTGAGCGACTATTTACCAATAGCCGGGGGTGGGGGAGAAGAGATGTATTTATTCCTATCCCAAGGGTAGTGCACGAATGGATTTCGAACACGGCTCTCCGAGTCATTAATCCGAGCGACTAGCCATTATGCCACCGCAGCACTTATATATAAATACTTAAATACTATGTTACTCCACCGTGCATTCACTATATATATATATATATATATATATATATATATATATATATATATATATATATATATATATATATATATAGATAGATATAGATATATGGTGCGATGGCAACATTGTCACCATTTTATATTTTTCATTTCGCGCATGCGCGTTGTTTGTCTTGATTTAGTCGTCTGCACAGTATAAGTAGGGTCAGTTGGACACCGTCTGTAAGAAAAAGGATTTTATCCCTCGACTCGCACACTGAAAGCAAACAACATTTTCTTTCCCTTTTTTAGTCAGAAGCAACACCAGCTTGGGAGAAATATAATAAGATTTTCATTATTTTAGACATATATAAATGTATACACACGCAACTCATTTTTCACCTTCGATCTGATGAATCTTAATTGGCGAAATGCATAGTTGGATTTTTTTCGAAACATTATACTTTCAGGAACGTTTTCCCAATAGTCATATATATATATATATATATATATATATATATATATATATATATATATATATATATATGTGTGTGTGATGATAATGAGACAAAGTGAAAAAAATTTTATACGACCCGTTTCGCCGACATCACGTGTGTTAAGGCAAAACAAATGCATAAGAATTTCTCAGGGAGAGACGGGCAATAAAGTCCCTGCTTTCACTTTCATTCCAATCTGAACAAACCAAACCAAACACAAGTGATGTCGGCAAAAGGTATCGTATTTCACTTTGTTTCGCCTACAGTTATATAGAGAGAGATTAGCTTAAAAGAGATTAGCTTAAAAGCCGCCCTATCGAGCTAGCTCCTACGGAGGTCTCTTGATTGGGCCTTCATCACAATAGATTGGGAGGAGTAGATGTCATAGGCAGAATAAACTACAGAAGAACTCAAAAATTGATCGCTACATTAAAGTATTGCATTAATATTTAAACATACCTTTTAAAAGTTCAACGATAATTTTTCTGCTGCCACTTAATTTAAAGACAATTTGATGTACGTAGGTCCTTGCTTTCCGTACAAACAATTATTTTTATTTCATGGATGGCTTCAATTATTCCCAAATTTATTTCCACGTTGTAAAAATTCTTATCGTACAAAAAATCCTCACAGAAAATCACGCCAAAAATCGCTGAAAACAATCACAGTAATGAAAATATGGGAATCCAACATTTCAAGATTACGGGTCTGAATCCGGCACAGAATGTTTTTAATTTGCTCACGAATTCGGACTGATTCCAAAATGGTGTGATATGTTGGGCTACGGCTTCTACGAGCAATTTGAAAAAATGCGACACAATAACACGCTGACATTCGCATTTATTTTATAGAACGGATTTCTTCAGATCAATAATGATTTCATCGATAGATTCAGTCTCATATATATATATATATATATATATATATATATATATATATATATATATGTTTGTATGTATGTTAGACATCATTTCTTTCTTTTGTATTATTATTATCCAAATTTCGGTCATGCCACGGAAAAAAACTATGATGCCTGTCAGGGAAAAGATGAGAGAAATGAATAATAGGTCATTTCCTTCTTTCCTGTAAATATCTACCCAGATAATAGTCGCAAGAATGTTACACTAGTGATGGGTGAAGGTCAGCGTGTGTTTTATTTTGTGTATGAATTTTATTTCCACTAAACATTCACGCCAGTATTTTGAGGGGTTCTATTAGATTCAAATTAAAGTTTTTAACTCGGATTTGTTTTTAGAGTTTTCTTCTGAAAAATTTCTTAATGACTCTGTCTAAAGCAGCGACTATCGAACTTTTTTTATTATTTCATTAGCCTAGACCAGAGTTTTTCAAACTGTGAGTCCCGACACTTCAGCGGATCGCGAGATAAATAACATGGACCGCGACAAAAAAGAAAGAAAGAAAACTGTCATATAGCCTGACGTGTTATACCATTTAGCTACAGAGGAAGCGTCTGTTTAGTAAGGTCAAATTACTGTTTTTAAACTACAAATTTCTCATGACTATATGCCTATATGACGGTTCCGTGTAGGATACAGGTTCGATTCCTTTCAGAGGACACATATTTTCTATGCAATTTCTCGGACGTTCAGGCCGGTAAATGTTAATGCTGTTTATTATAAAGAAAGCATTTACTTAAATATTTGTATCTATAAAAATAACGTATAAACAATAAATATATTAAAATAGTTGTCGGGCTTAGTCCATTTCATAATATACAAATAGATAATACAAATAGTTACATGCAATTCCAATATATACGGATCATAAAAAATATACATATAAATTGTCGATGCTAAATAAATGAACCTAATAACAGAGTTTGTCTTCGATTTCTTACACGTATAATAAGTCGCAATGTGGGTCGAGGTAAAAAATAGTTTGAAAAATGCTGCCCTAGACGTATAGAGGTTTAGAGCCATATCACATTGAAACACCGGTTCACGTACGATCATCGAAGTTAAGTAACATCGATGCTGGTCAGTATCTAGGTGGGTGACCGCTTGGGAATACCAGGTACTGAAAGCTTTAATGTGCGGGGTGTGTAACTGATAACGGCGCAAAATTGAAAATTGGAGAACCGTTTTACAGTCTGGTTCTTTATATTCATATACGCGCAAGTACCCTTGGGGAAGGTATGAATCCACCTCTTCTCCCCTCAGGTTAATTAGTAGCACCTGTATGAGTAAATCATTATTATCTCAACAAAATTCTTACATTCTAAAACTATTTTTTGGCTTTAAAACACATGCAAAAGGTTTGATAAGTCGTAAAAAATCAAATTATAATAATTCTAAATAAAGATTCTAAATTAAATTCCCTAATATATTATATTGAAAATATCTCTAATGCTATATTGACAATGAGAAGTTAGAACCGTAATGAGAGGGGTGGATATGTTTTATTTTTTGGCATGTAAACAGTACGCGGATATACAAACCACACTATGAACATTACAAGGAAATGCGTTTGATATACGATTATTTTTATAAGAGTTCATTTAAAAGCAGCTCTACTCAAATTTGACTTACCTTCAATCAACTCCACTACTGATGTGTGAACGTGGCTCAAATAACAAAAAACACAGGAAAATAAACATAAAAAGCATTACGACATATTGTATTTTACTGAATTGAAGATTTTTATGATTTCTGCCATTTTACCTGCATTGAAAGGTCTTTCTTTTCTAATTGTTCGACATTTCAAAAATTTGAGCAACCATTTAAACAAAGAGAGTAGCAATTTTTGCTCAAAATTTAATCAACACAATTACGGGTCAACATATTAAATTACTTCTTTTTTTTTAAATAAATCCACCCCAAGCAACGGGATAACACAAGGGTTTACGGGGAGTTAAAGAATGTTATTAGGACGTAGGAGGGGGTTTTAAGTTGATTTCACCCCAAGCAAGGTAGTAAAGCCACTAAGATACAAAGGGGTTACTGGGAATAAAAGAATTAGAAACAGGAACATTACTAAGCAGCGTGAACGAAAAGACTAATCAAGAGGTAAGTAGATAGCGATTGACATTGCAATTAAATTTTTGCAGATTAAAGTTAGTTGGAAAGCATGGAGCCGGAAAAGAGTTCCACAAGCGAGAAGTGTGAGAAAAGAAACTGTTAACACAGAAGTTACAGTTACATCTAGCCAACTTAACTGTAAATTGATCTCGACGCTAGTCTCGTACTGCCCTTAAATTCAAGAAGTCTCTGTACCATAGCAAAGAGCTCATCCGAACAATTACCAAGAAAGTATTTACAGAAAAGGCAAAGGGGGGCAACCTTACAGTTAAACAATGCATAATATACTTAGTGAGCTTGATGGCAAAACAAGGTTTAGGGAAAATAACAAAAAGACAAAATCTATAAAGATCTATCAGGTCATCCCATAAGTTCTGTCCGAATTTTGAATAAAGAAAACAAGTGACCAAATGTTACATTTAATTACAGATTCAATCAACAGTGTATTTCCGCTGATTATCTATGACTTCCTTCCATCTATTAACAAGCTTACTAATTCCATTACTGTAAAATTCTTTTGGCTTTACTTCGAAGAACTCACAAATGTCAGTTTTAACCTCTTCCTGTGTTACAAAAGCTGTTTCTTCCAAATGATTCTGTAAGCTACGAAACAAATGGTAGTCTGAAGGAGCAAGATGGGAGAATAAGGTGAATGAGGAATTTTCTCCCAACCAAGTTCTTCGATCTTTTGTGACGTGATTCTTGCTATGTGGGGTCGCGCATTGTCCTGATGAAACATCACCTCATTCCGATTCACTAGAGTAGGTCTTTTTTTTTTGCCCAAAGCTTGGTTCAAGCGCTCTAATTGCTGACAGTATATTTGAGCATTAATTGTTACATTAGGTGATAAGAATTCAAAGTGGATTATTCCTTGGCAATCCCACCAGATTGAAAGAAGAACCTTTTGCCCATGCAGTTCCCTTCTCGGCTGTGGCTGGGGTCCTTCCCCTTTACCAAGCCACTGTCTACGACCCTTAACATTTCGACAAAAGATCCATTTTTCGTCGCCAGTCACAAGTCTATCAGAAAATGTAAAACAAGTTGGCGAGAATGGAGAGAAGAGCAGATGTCAACTCGGGATTTGAGATTGTTTTCAGACAATTCATGAGGCACCCATTTTCCAAGTTTAGGAACTTTTCCAATTTGTTGAAGATGACGATGAACAGTTGTATGGTTTGAACTGAGAACCACTGCCAATTCCTCAACTGATAAAGAAGGATTTTCTTTAAGGGCTGCTTCAAGAAGCTTTTCATCAAACTCAACTGGACGTCCGGTTCGATCTTGATCTTCAAAGGTGAAATCTCTGAATTTTGCAAACCATCTTCTGCAAGTTCTTTCATTCACACATTCCTCTCCATAAACTGAGCCGCTTCGGCTGCTGAGTTTCCTTTCTTGAACTCATAAAGCCTTATGTGCATAAAATGATTCTTGGGTACTTCCATGTTAGCAGGGTTTTAATCAAACAAAATTTAATTTTATTGTTCTCCGAAATAAAATTTGATCAGTTTAAATGCATCTAAACATAAAAATAATGTTCAGCTCCATTAGACATTATAAAATACTCTTTAAATTTCGTTCATTTTAACAAAAAGTTAGAATTCGGACAGTACTTATGGGATGACCTGATACAATGAACAGGAAATGGTGAAGAGCCATGATGGCCTACGCCCTGAAGGGACATGACACATAAAAAAAGACAGCCCATATCAGAATGTTCATCTGGGTATGACGACATGATAGACATATTTTGTGAACATGGAAAAGATATAATCGTTTCTGTGGTTGTCTAGTATATCAATTTGTTTGTCGACTAATAGTATTTTTAACTGATACAGCAGCTCTGACCTTTTATTAGACACTATGAGGAGCCGACTTTTGTGTAATATATCTATTCTGCCTTGACACTTGTGATATTAAGATATGGCATTATTTGACCCCCCGACAAGAATAGGTTTAAATATGCGTAAAGACAAAACTGTCTAATCCTACCAGTTTTTACTATAGATGTCATGTCCTATTTTTGACTCTAACTCATTTGGAACCTGACATGATCAATTCACGCTCTGTTTCTCCCGAATAAATATCACCATTGATCCTATCCCAGTGGCCGAATTCCTCTGATCTTAGGCTTGACATAAGGTCACAACATTGAGCTCTGCATTTATGCATGCGGGTGGTTCCAAAGATTGTTCGGTTCCATCGGCACGTCTCTTTCTGGGTTGTCCCAGTTTGAAGTGTTTAAATGGCTTTATCTCTTTGAGTGACTGGAGCCGAGAAGCCAGCTCTGGTCTAATAATATTATTGATTCTTCTTTGGAGCTCGAGATAAATGGCAGGAGCACCAAAAGGAATTGAAAGACTGTGAGAATTGAGGATAAGGACAATAAAGGATGGAGATTCCAGAAGAAACGAATGTGGCGATTGTTGTTGCATTCAAGTTTTTGAAAATTGTATGTTGCATTGAAACAGGACATAGGAAGGGGATCCACATGCGAGAAGTACAAGAAAAGAAGTTATTAGAATAGAATTGACTGTTGCATCTAATTAGTTCAACAGTAAAACTGTGTGACATAGTTTTACGTCTTATCAAACTTTTGTCGGCTATTTAAACATTACCATATTTTGGATTGTAAAAAAAAATGAATATTTTTTTCTTTGGCGAGTAAATATTGTATAAACAATTTTTTGAGAATGGAAACGAATGTTCAAGATGCAAGTGCTACTATTTCAGCCATAGATGGTGGGAGGATATTAATTCATGCCATTCCCGATGATATCTGCGCGTAAGTGAACCTAATGAACTCGACTGGAATTCGAACTCTAATTTCTCAGTACCAGTCAATTTAAGGGAGCGGAACAGCCCGATATAGATACAGATGCTAGGATAGAATTGTACACGTCAAAATCAAGCGAGAAGTTTAGATCCTGACCTGGTATCTTGACTCCAGTCACTTTCTTACAAACGTGATGTGGCTTCTCTCTGTCTTTTATGTAAATATTTTCACTGGTGCCCCAACTGCATGAATGTAAGCGTGCTACTAAGTTGGCATTTCGGTCCCGCCCTTTTACTTTATTTTTTTTAATGTAACCGCCTTTTCTACTCTAACATCTTCCTCTCCCGCACTTCCTGACGGTGGAACCCCTTCCTTGCTTCTTACTTGCTTCCCTGATAAGTATAATCTCCAAAGATTATATGTAATGTAAATTGACATCTTCTGATGCTTTGATCTGAGTACCCCACCCCCGTACTTCTCTTGATCCTTTCTTCAAACACCTCTCTTTTCTCTTACTTTCACTCTCTGTAACCCCTTACGTCCTAGTGGCACTCTTGCTTGAGGTGAAATGCTTAAAATATATATATATATATATATATATGTATAAAAATACAATATCATATATATATATATATATATATATATATATATATATATATATATATATATATATATATGTGTGTGTGTGTGTGTGTGTGTGTGTGTGTGTGTGTGTGTGTAGGAGGCACGGTGGAGTAATGGAATGAGGAATCGGAGAGCCGAGTTCGAATTCCAGTCGAATCCATTACATTCACTTACGTGCTAATACCCTTGGGAAAGGTATGAATCCTCTACTTCTCTCTCCAACTATGGGTAAATAGCAGGACAGACTGCGTTCTATAGCCTTGGATGGCAACCGCTCTGAACTCAAAACCTGCGGAGGGTTGTTTGGGGACCTTGTGGCACGTAGTGCACCAGGTCTGTGTATTCGGCTCTTCAAAAAGTGTGGATGTTCCTGCACGAAACCTTCACCACTATAATCAATTCTCAAGTACTGTTGTCGGGCTGTCAGTTTCCTGAGAACTGATCTGCTTGACCCTCATACGTCGAATTTGACGGGAGAGGATATATATATATATATATATATATATATATATATATATATGGAAAATGGCCTAACTTAATAGGACACTAAGGATAACAGCTCAATATCGCAGCAATATTCAATGCACGAACGAATGGTAGATTTATAA